ATACCGATTGCAGAGAAAAAACATTGGGGAAAAGCTTGTATGCAGTTTATTATTATCCCCCCCCCCCCCCGAAAAAAAAGCAATTGTGTATAGTAGCAATTAATAAGGATGGCAGAGGTCATGCTTGTAATCAGACCCCCTGCTTTGGGATGAGGGGGGCATGGGGCACAATTAGCCATAGTCAAACACCATCTCCACCCCTAGTGTCTTGAACAAGTGTGCAGCTTAATCGCTTTTCCTGAAGGGGAGAAGACATTCTATGCAAGTTGGAGGAGGTTATAGGTTTGGGGAAGGGGGAGGTTGAGTGTGGAGAAGAGGTTATGGGTTGAGGGTTCTAAGCCAAGAAATAATGGGGTGGCCATGTTAGATGCAGGAGGAGTCCTTTGGGCTGGTGATGTTAAGTCTGGGGCAATAGGTGCCCAATTGAAGCTATCTGGCACCAGAGCCCCAGGTTGACAGCCTATATCACTGAGAATATCCCAGTCATGAAGAATGCTTCTGTCCTTTCCTTTTAGTACCATTTTGGCGGGAAGTGGAGGGGATTCCAGACTCTGGTTGCATATTATGATCCATGATAGATTTTAGGGCATCATGACGTCTTCACTTTATCTGCATCTATTGATCTATGCACAGTGATTTGTTTGTACATGGGCAATATTGAATGCAGAGGACCCCAAAACTGTTGTTACATAGGGGCACTTTGCTGACTATGTCCACCACTAACCCCAATTAAAAGATAGATTTTTTTTATCCACAAAGAAACATATTGTAGCAATGTCTTTTGCTGGAATATGCAGCTTCAATCTAGCAACCCCCCTGTGTTTTTTTTATGTTACTAGGTGCCTTTAGTTTGATGGCTAGCTTCATTCAAACCACTTTATCTAAGCCAAGGACCCACATTCCCCATCCTTGTACTGCACAGTGCTAGGAGAAGCACAGTGATGAGCTCACCTCTATGTCACTCTGCTCTCTCCACTTATCAGCATGCTTCTTGTCAGCACATGAACTGATTTGCTCCTTGAGCTGCCATTTCCTCTTAAACTCCAGCCCTCCTGTACAGGGATTGCAAAAAGCTGATACCAGGTTAAATTCAGGTACTTAGACTGCTTGCTTTTAAAAAATACATTTCATGATGTACTAATGAGTACAGAGCTGCATTTGTTTCATTTATTTGTGCTTTTTTCTATATCTTCCCTGAGTTCAGCTTTAATGTACATTATCACGTGTGTTTATTTTGTTGGTTCAAATATGGTAATCAGTAAGATAAGGTACGTCAGCCCAGTAGATAGCAGCCTATTCTCTGAAGTATGAAGCATTCTTCCCCCAGCCTTTAAAAGGCAGATCAGATCAGCAATGCTTGACAATGCTCACTGAGCTCCATGGAGTCAGCTACTAAAGGAAGCACAGCTGCAGGTAAGAGGACACTTTCATAAATATATATGGATGTATAGAGATATATATTTTTAATTGGATTATATTTTTTATAATAAAGATAGGAAGTCATTAAGTTACAGTATTAGTATTCAGTTATTTTAAAGACAAAATATTTTAAACTACTTTTATTAATTCCTACAAAAAAAGTCACAGAAACTGATTGAATGCAATATTTACATAAAAAACAGAAACGTATATGTGTATTGCTCTTATTGATCCCATAATGTGCTGCACAGTTATTAAATATACAAGACAATTATGCGGCAAGAGCGTTTGATAATAAAATAAAGTTTATTTGTTACATAAAAATGACTTTGTAGATGTAATTATAGGGTGTGCAGCTGATATTGTAAAGATTGCTGTGAGTATATCAGATGGATAATATAAATAAGAAACAATAAACAATTACAGTATAGGAGGAATGAAAAATGTAACACCTATAAATATTTTTCCTAAAAGGTAATAATCATTTAACCATTTACATACTGTATGTGCCTTGGTGCTACTGAGATGTCTTAATGGCTAAAAGACTGAAGGAAACAATAAATAATTAAATAAAATGAATGTGATTTTTCCGGGGACCTTTGTGAACTGGTGTTTTGGTGCCAATAAGTCGGCACGCTGTATGTTGCTGACCCAGTTTGTATCTTTGGGATATTATGGCACAGATTTGGTGCATTTCATTTTAAGGCTAGGTTCACACCTAGGCAATTTATCGCACGGATTGAGTCGCGCGATGTCGCGCAAAACACAGATTCTCATTGAAGTCAATGGAGGCTGTTCACACCTTTGCGGATTGTCGTGTGGATGAAATCGCCTGTCGTGCGAAAAGTGCAGGAGCTATTTTCGGGTGGTTTTAGTGCAGTTTGGGTCCCATAGCCATCTCTATGCATTGAAAATTGCATGGTTTTCAATGAACAGTTACGCAATCGAAAACACACGACAACTGCACAAAAACAGTTCAGGATCTGAATCGACTATTTGTGGATTTGTGGACCTAGCCTTAGGGTAGGTTCACACCTAGATGACACCTTTACTGCGCGGCAATCGTGCACGATTCCGTGCGGATTGCCGCGCGGTCAGGAGTCGCCAAGGTGTGAACCGATCGCGCTGTGGGTGCCATTATTTTCTAATCGCACCCCAGTCGCGTCGGGCGGATGCTTCCGAACACGATTGCGGCTAAAACAGCCGCACGTCGTGTATTGCAAAAAAAAGGTACTTGTACCTTTTTTCTGCAATTGCCGTGCGGATGTCACCCCATTGAAATCAATGGGGCCACGCGGCAATTCCGGCAATCCCGGATCGCGGAGGTCTGCACCGGGCCTTAGGGCTAGGTTCACACCTAGGCGATTTATCGCAGGAATTGGGTCGCGCAATATAGCGCAAAACACAAATTCTCATTGAAGTCACTGGAGGCTGTTCACACCTTTGCGGTTTTTCGTGTGGATGAAATCGCCTGTCGCGCGAAAAAGTGCAGGAGCTGTTTTCAAGCGGTTGTCGCGCGGTTTGGGTCCCATAGACATCTCTATGTATTGAAAATTGCATGGTTTTCAATGATCAGTCGCGCAATCAAAAACCAACGACAACCGCGCGGAAACAGCTCAGCATCTGAATCGCCTAGGTGTGAACCTAGTCTTAGAGAGATAGAATAAATTGTGCTAGATGACATAATAGCAGACTAATATTTTGATAACATCACTGCTGGATGGCAAAGCTTGAGGGTTAGGGCTACGTCTTGAGTTCAGGATAAAAGTGCAAAAATTGCACTCCGGTCCTATAATTGCACTCTGTACTGCTCAGTAATTAAATATCCCGATGAATTATGCGGAAGGAGCATCTCATAATAAAAGTTAAAATGATATGTTACATAAGGATTATTTTGTAGGTTTAATTATAGAGTGAGAAACTAACATTGTAAAATATTGCAATAAGTACATCAGATGGATCAGATAGATAGGAAACAATAAACATATACAATAAAACATTGATGTAAAGATTGAAAGACTATATGAAAATGTAACACCTATAAATAACTCTTTTCCAAATAGGTAATAATGCTATACCCTTGCAATGCTGATATACATATGTGCCCTGCTACTAATGAGATGTTTTTAAAGGAGAACTATGGGGTTAAGCCTTTTCCCCATAGTTCTCCTTAGGGTAACGGGAGGACACAAACTAGCGTCCTCCCATCACCCTAGGCTCAGTATACCGTGAGCTGTAGCTCGTGGTATACTGAGACGCCGCAGCTGAAGCGGATCCCGACAATTGTGCCGGGATCTGCCCAGCTGCGTGACTGACAGCTGGCTCTGCCTATCCAAAGGCAGAGCCAGCTGTACCCGCCCCCTCCTCCGTCCGTTCCGCCAGTCAGCGCTGGCGGATCAGAGCGGGGAGGGGGGAATCCAGCCCCTCCCCTGTCACGGCAGAGAGCCGTGACAGGATCGAGAGGTGAGCGAACGCCAGTATGTGTTCGCTCACCCCCCGATCTACTGAGCCGACCTGTGACAGTATCATTGTCACAGGTCGGCTAGAACTATGAGGTGAGTGAAAAGCACTCACCTCAGAGTTCTCCTTTAAGGATAAAAGACTCTAATGGAGACAACAATGTGCTTATGCTGGATACCTTTCTGAGCTGGTGCTTTGTTGCCAATTATTAGGCACTGCACATTGGTGGCCCAGTTTTTATCTTTCATATGTTATGTCGCAGATTTGGTGCACTGAATTTTCAACAAGATAGTATAAATTAAGCTAGTATGACATGATTATGGCTGAGCTTGAGGGTTAGGGCTAGGTGTTGGGTTGAGGATAAAGATGCCTACAGACATGAAAAAAAAGGTCTGTCCAACCAATGTTGGTTGCAGGAAGCTACACGACTTGGGAAATTCAATTGGCCAAAATGGAAAGTCCATTGGCCGAGGTGGTTTTTTAACAGCCTCATTATTGTTTCCTCCAAAACAACCAGCCACCACATCACTTCCCCCTTCAAACTCTAAGGGCACAAGTTTGTCTCAGCAGTAAGATATCCAGTTACAGAGTCAGACAGACGCCGCTGATCCTCTCCTCGAAGAAGTAGTACTCATCTGAGTTTTCAACCTGCAGAAGCTGTTAACAAAGACCTAGTGCAAGTCTTTCTTTTTAGAAAGCCCACCATGTTCAATAAACAGGGTATCATGGAAAAAACATTATCTTAAATGTGTATATAGAAAATAAAGATTTTGGGAAAATAATAAATACAGTTATATAACACATGTGCTGAATTTTGATCAACCACAAGGGAAGTAGGGGCTTCATTTCTGTTAGAGTGGTAAAATTGTGGAACTCTCTTCCACAAGCAGTGGTATCAGAAGAGAGTATTGAATCATTCAAAAATCATTTAGATACCTTCCTCAGAAACCGTAACATACAAGGGTACAGATACTCTTACTGACTGGAACACACACAAACTGGTATACACACACATACAACACACACACTCACAAAGGTTGAACTCGATGGACCTGTGTCTTTATTCAACCTTAAATACTATGTAACTATGTAACTTTCTATTTTGTAAATAGAATCATTCTTGAACATGGACTCAGCAGAAAAAGAGAACACCGAAGAAGGATTGTTTATGTTTTATGACTCCTTCACAGAGCTGTTTGAATTCTTCTGTGACAATACCACCATTCATGGCACCGTCAGGCTGAACTGCTCTAGGAGGAATAAGATGAAAACGGGCTTTTGGGTTTTTCTTTACCTTTTTGCTTTCTCAACAATGTATTTTCAGTTCGGAGACACCTTCACCCAGTATTGGTCCTACCCCACCAACTTAGCCATACATTTACAGACCAAGAAAAGCAATTTTCCTGCCGTGACCATCTGCAATATGAACCCCTACAGGTATATTGTTTTACTGATGACAAGCAGTAATAATCTTGCATGGTAAAATTTGCTCCCATACATGGAGGTAGCTCATTAAATGTGCATGTTGTACTTCTCTGTAAATATATGCTTATGAACAGCATAGTCATTACTTAATTACTCTCCTCTATGATTCCATGGCTCCCAACATGAGGGGACTATGCTCCACACATGGTGGACATAACCTCTGGATTAGAATCTATATCCTCATCAACACAGTTCTCCCCATTAACCTGAGGAAGAAGCATTGTTCAATATTCCACATGGCCCCCACCACTAAAACTAATCACCTTCATGTTTGTGGCCACCAAGTAAACAGTAGCTGCCTCCGGGAAACCCCATCTCTAAACTCTGCAGAGGTAAAAGGCAGGTGACAAGGTGCTATGGTTAGTGGAAAGCTCACAGATCTAGCTTAAAAATTCCTAAAGGTCTGGCCCAGTTAAACCCAACTAGACATAGGTCACCAATATTTTCTGTGTGTTTGAACCTGAACCTTACTTTTTTCTCCCTTGTTCTTCTTTCTCCTATTTCTTCTCTACTTTCACCTTTCGGTCTTTCCTCTCCCTCCGCCCCTCTGCCCCACTCTTCACTCCTTGCTCTCTACTTCCCTCTTACCCTTTCCCCTTGCGCTTCCCCACACCCACTCAATGTCAACCAACCCACCACCAACTGTGAAATGAAAGAGTGAAAGAAGAGTTAATAAACCAGATATACTATTTATACCTAAAATGCAAAGCGCCACTACATCTCTGATGTACTTAATGCTAACTGAGCCAACACAGGCACAAGCAAGCCTGCCTTGAATTTGCTCATCTGTTTTATGTACCAAAAAACTGTACGATGCGGGCCTACCTACACAGACAAACCTAATTTGTCTCATCAAGAACTATGCGTGTTATATTTTACCATTTGTAATGTTTCCTTGATTCCAATAAAAACCATTAAAACATAACAGAGATTGCCAATGCAGCACGTAAAGTCTGAAATTCAGTCCACTGATGAGCTAGCTATGCTCATAAAACAAATGGACTGTGATAGAGATGCTTACCCTAAAGTATTTAGGTTTTGCCCATTTTTGGGATGGAGGATAATGCTCCATGTTTCCCAAAAGATGTTATTTTGATTTCCATCCTGCCATAGGTTTTGTCACCAACTGGATTAAATAACCGATTAAAGCTGGCCTCCAGCTTCTCTCCTATAAGGAATTTGCTTCATGTGATTTCAGTGGACACTGTCAGCTTCTCACAGTGTGCATTAGAAGCAGCAATAATCTGCCTGCATTGTATAGGAAGCACAGAGACCTAGTGACGATACCACTAGGTCTCATATAAGGTATTCACCAACATTGCATAATAGACGTGTTTCTCCTTATTCTTCTTAAATATCAATCTAAAAAGAAAGGGAATAATATGTAAATTGCCAAGGAGAAGGTCAAATTCAGTTCCATACCTGTCATCTGCAAGTCCCCACTGCATTTGGCATAACATGTTCCACCAATTGTATTATTATCCTTTTATCTATGTGTCGCTAGCTGCCTGTCTCTTTCACACCGGGACACATACCTACCTCACTTCCTGAGATGGGAAAGAGGGACACATTGGGGTTAATTTAGTAAAGGCAAATAGGCTGTTCACTTTGCAAGGGAATTTGCACTTTGTAGGGGAAGTTACCCTTAGCTTAGTGAATGTGGTTTAACTTTCACTTTGTAAAGATTATCCAATCATGTGCAAGGAAAAAAAAAACATGATTGGATGATGGAAGTCAGCAAAGATTTCCCTCATTCACTAAACTAAGGGCAAACTTCTACTAAAAGCAGATTTCCTTTTAAAGTGATACAAAATAAAAGGTAAAAAATGATGAGTTAAACCCACAAGTGCTTTTTCACCACTACTTTTCCTTTATACTGGCTCCCCCCCCCCCCCCCCCCCCCCACCCCACACCACTTCATTGTCACTATT